ATGCCTACTGTCTGTGTACTAGGCACTGTGCTAAATACTGTCGATACAAAAAGAGGCAAAAGACAGTCCCTGCCTTCAAGGAGATCACAATCTAATGAAGAAGACAACAAGCAAACAAATATGTACCCAAAAAAAGGAATATATAAAATAAATAGGAAGTAACTAAGAGAGGGAAGGCATTGAATTAAGAAGGGTTGGGGAAGGCTTCCTGTGGAAGATGGGATTTTAGTTGGGACTTAAAGGAAGTCAGAGCTGGGTAGGAAGTGTTTATGATTTGGGGAGATGGACGTCTAAAGTCCCTTATGACTCTTAAGTTCTGTGAGATCTAAATTCTGAACAGTGGCTTACAGAAGACATTGTTTATATTTGCATAATGTCACAGACTGATTAATAATACAGTTCAAAGAAAATTCCCCATGAGTTCAAGAGATGTCTGTCGTCCCACGCTTATGGGCCCCCAATGTATGTCACGTGTGTCATGGCTGTGTGGATGCTTGGCCAGGTGAGATGTGTTGTGCATGTGGGTACTCAGCCAGATGTGATCTGTGTTGTGTGTGTGAGCACTCAGCTAGATGTGATGTCATGTGTTTGAGCACTTAATGAGATGTGATGCATGTGTCCTATGTTTGAGCAGTGGGCCAGATGTGATATGTGTATGTGTGTGTGTGTGTGTGTTGTGAGGGGCACCCACCGGTGTATGATGGGCATGTGTTGTGTGTACGTGGATACTCAGCCATATGTCATATATGGGCAACTTATATGTGTGGTCACTCACTGAGATGTGATATGTATGTGTATGTCATGTGTGCATGGCCTCAACCAGATGTGTATGGACACACCATGAGTGAAAGGTGTCTTTCTTATGTGTGTAGGGACACTCAGTCATATGTGATACGGGTGGTCAATAGTGAGATGAGAGATATTCACATCATATGTGCCTGGGCATTCACCCAGACCCTGAAAGGACAAAAGCGGCTATTCTTGAAAGTGTTTTGAAATATTCCTTATGGTATTTGGTAAGAGCTTATCCAAATGTCTTTTAGCACATAATAATGGTTGCATACATTTCCTTGTCCCACAGCAGGCAAATTCAGTCAAATGGCTTTAGTGACTTTTTACATTCAGTAGGCAAATTTTCAGCAGGCGTGATTTGAAATATAAAGCTTAGGGGGAAAACAGCTGACAATTTCACATCCTCCTACAGCTTTACCCAATGGTTTCATTTGACTGTACACGTCCCCATTTTCTGTAATTGCAACAAGACAGGCTGAATTAGGCTTATTTGGAATAACCAAGCCACCCAAAAGTATTAATTGAGAACTCCCATTCCATAGCCTTTTTTTTTTTTTTTTTTTTTTAAGGAACAGTGGAGATGGTTTATTTTGTAATTAAAAGAGTGCAAAGGTCCCCTTCCTGTAATTTTGGTTTGGGGCAGGAAATTTTTGTTTCCGTTTTGTTTTTCCATTTCGTAATATTTTATTTTTTCCAATTACATGTAAAGCTACTTTTCAACGTTCACTTTGATAAGATTTTGAGCTCCAAATGTTTTTCTCCCTCTCTCCCCTCCCCCCCTGCCTAAGACAGCACAAAATCTGATATAGGCTATACATGTACAATCATATTAAACATTCAATAGCATTATTAATAGTGAAATCTGGGCAACCTATGAAGGGAGTCGGAAAACCTGAGTTCAAATCCTACTTCTGATATATCTATGTGACCTTGGGGAAATGTCTTAACCATCTTGAGCTTCATCTATAAAATGAAAGGGCTGGACTAAATGGCCTATAAAGTCCCGTGTAGCTTTAATTTAGTAATCTTATGTTCCTTTGCCTAGATTGGGAATAGGGACAACTTCTGAGAAGTAGCCTTTGGGACTGTGGTTCAGACTGTTACTTTTGACCTCTGATGTCCATTCATTTCCCTGGTTATTATTAGAGGAATCACCTATGCCTGTCTCCCACCTCATATCTCCCTGATATTTTGAAGAGACTTGAAGTTCTAACACTTCCTACATGAAGCTTTTCCTGATTCCCCAGGTGTTACACCCTCCTGGCTGCCATACCCCCTCCCACCCTGATTCCCTCAAGTGAGATGATTTTGAACTCTCGGGAGTTGGGGTTGGGGCGGGGCATTCCCCTCCAATGTTACAACTGTCTGAAGTTTTCTCAATATAAAAACTAATGAGAAACAATGGTATAAGTTAAAATTCCAGGTCCGTAAACAATTTTGTGAAACCTAATTTGGCTAAGTGGTTTATAAGGGTCACGACAGAAATGATCTGGGGGGCAGGGAGAACTGCATTTTTGAGAAGCCTCAAGCATTTGGGGACAGGAGTTATACATCGATGTTTTCAAAGTCTATCAAATAGATAATACAGATACCATAACGTGACTGGAGTCAGCCATACATAGAACTTAAAGTAGATGAAATTTCATCTTAGGCACCCTCTTATTCTCCCTTCTCCCACCCGCAGATGCTGCCTGGCTGCTCAAAGCACTACAAGCATTGTCCTAATCAGGGTCCTCCTTCCAGAGCAGTAACCTACACTCTGGATATTTCCATCAGCTTCCCCTAACATTTTACCCTGTTTTGTGGCCTGCTCCAGTAGAGGCACAGTTGAAAAGGATTCGATAAAATAATTTTTGATAAGTGGTTAATGTTTGGTAGCTGGGCAGTGGATAGAGCCCTGGGCTTGGAATCAGGAAGACTCATCTTCCTGCCTCAGATACTTACTAGCTGTCTGACCCTGAACAAGTCACTTAAGCCTCAGTTTCCTCATCTATAAAATGAGCTGGAGAAGGAAATGGCAGACCACTCCAGTATCTTTGCCAAGAAAACCCCGAATGAGGTCATGACTGAAAAAGCAACTGAACAAAATGATTGGTAAAGGCTCTGTTTGTAGTGTAACTCTTGATAAGGTTAAAAGGGTGACAAGGTGATGGTGGGGTAATTTCCAGAACATAGGTGACCGTCTGCTCTCCCTGCACATAACGAACTGACTTTGGTATTTCCCTAAAGCAACAGATTAGTGAATTCTCTGGGTGATAGTAAGAGTTTCAATTCCATTCTTACAGTACTGGTTAAGACACTTAAAGGAAAATCTCAGAGTTGGTTGACATTTATTCATTGGAGATAATATGAAAACAACCACAACAGACATTTATTGAGTACCTACAGTGTGAAAGGCAAGGTGTTAAGCAAGGCTTTGGGGATACCCTCAAGGGGTTTCTATCTTATCTCCAGTATTTCCTACTTTTCTTTCTCATCCATTCTTCACACATCTGCTAAACTAAAGTGGTATTTTTAAAGCACTTGTTTCTCCCTTCAGTTCTCTACCTCCTCCCATTGCCCCAGGATCAAATACAAATTGGCTCCAACCTACCTTTCCAGGCTTATTGGGCCTTATTTACCTTCACATAATCTATGGTCCAGCCAGACTATCCAACTTGCTGTTCTCTATGCAGGAAATTTCTTCTCCCACCTCCGTGCTGTGTCCCATAACTAGAATATACTCCCACCTCACCTCTGCCTCTTAGAATCCCTAGAATCTTCTTAGAATCAAAACTCAACTCAAGTACCATATCCTTCATTAGGCCTTTTTGGATCCTTCCAGCTGCTAGATATATAACACATATACATATGTATTTATGTGTACATATGTTGTTTCCCTTAATAGAATGTGAGTTTTTTGAGGACAGGGACTGTTTAGGAACACTATTTAGGAGGAGATTTTAATATTACAATAATATTATTTTTAATATTTTAATATTCATATAGACCAATGGTGTCAAACTCATATAGAAATGGAGGCTACTAATCCATGCAGAGGACATCTATGGGCTGCCTATTTGTTGACTTCGTTTTAAAAATGTAATATTATCTATGTTTTATTTTATTTTTTTGTTTGTTTTGTTAAATATTTCCCAATTACATTTTAATTTGGTTCTGGATATACTGGGGAGTGCTGTAGGCCCATGGGCTGTGTGTTTGACATCTCTGGTCTAGATGAGAAGGGCCTGAAGTAGGAGAGTATGGATATGAGCAAGAGATAGAGTCAATAAGACTTAACTGATTGAGTGTGGAGGGTAAGAGAGAGGGAGAGTAAAGATGACTCTGGTTTAGAGCCTGGGTAGCTAAGAGGATGGTGGTATTATCTACACACAAATAGAGGAGCTATTAGGAAAAGAGGAAGGTCTTTTTTTTTGTAGAGGGAAGATGATGAGTTCCATTTTGGATATATTGAGTTTGACGTGTTGGTAGGCCATCCATATGGATATAACCAATAGGGAGTTGGAAATACAGGACTGGAGTTCTGGACAGATGCTGTTGGTGTCTGTATATATTTAATGGGAGTCATCTACATAGAGATGGCAACTGTTATGTTCAGTTTGGGGTGTGATAATTTAGGACACTGGCAAACTGGACAGCATCCAGAGGAGGATGACCAGGATAGTAAAGGGCCTTGAGTCCATGTCATATGAGGATTGATTGAAGGAACTAGCCATGTTTAGTCTGCAGAGAAGAGGGCTCAAGAGGGCCATCATAGCTGTCTTCAAATATTTGAAGGACAACATATGGATGGGTTTGTTCTCTATGGCCCTAGAGGGCAGAACCAGGAGTAATGAGGGGAGTTACAAAGAGACCGATTTAGGCTGAATGTCAAGAAAATTTTTTTCTAAGAATTAGTGCTGTCCAAGATTGGAATAGGCCAGCCTGGGAAGGTTTTGGATACTCCCTCCTTGGAGATCTTCAGCCAGACTGCAGCTCTCAAATTCTGTGATGATAAGTCTTTGCAACATACAGCATAGTAGAAAGAGCATTGAATTTGGATTTAGAAGAGGTGGGTTTCAATCTTACTACAAATGTGACCATTCAACTTCTCTCTAGGCCTCAATTTCCTTTTCTGTAAAATGAGGGAGCTGGATTAGATAATCCCTAAGGTCACCTTCTAGTGCTAACATTCTATGAGCATATATTTTTAAATTTTCCAATTATAGTCATGGAAATAAAGAAACCTTTTCCTGCCGGGGAATTCGTTTGGCTGTGGACTGGTTCAGGGAGAGAGGACACAACTACATCAAGGTCTTTGTCCCATCTTGGAGGAAGGAACCACCAAGATCTGATACCTCTATTTCAGGTATGTTGCTACAAATGCTTCTCCATCTTCCAGGTGACAAGGATGGCTTTAAAAGTAGTCACGCTGATGCCTTGCAGATAAATTTGCCAGCCTACAAAATATATCAGTCCAGCATGCCATATCTCTTGCTATATAATCTGTACTTTGTTGTAAAGCAAATAAAATTATAAGGCCACACCATATTAGAGGTGGATTCCGAGAATACTCAGAGTTCAGCTAACACAGCCTCACTTTTGTAAAAATGGAGAAAATATAGAGATGGAGGAATATGATCACATAATCATAGAATCCACCCTTTACTGATCTCCTCAGTTCTACACATTTCCTCTGTTGACAATCTCCAATTTATTCTGCATAGAGCTTGGTTGAATTTGGTTGTTTATATGTTATCTCCCCATTAGACTGTGAGGTCCTTGAGAGCAGGGCATGTCTTTTGTCTTTCTTTATATCCTCAGCTTTCTGTACAATACTAGTACTTAATAAATGCTTCCCATGGAAGATGAGATTTAAGTTGGGACTTGAAGGAAGTTAAGAGGTAGAGAAAAGGAGAAAAGGCATATCAGGCATGGGAGATAGTCAGTAAAAATGCCCAGAGTCTGGAGATGGAGTGTGTTGTTCAAGAAATAGCAGGTCTTTCAGTGTCACTGACTCATAGAGTCCGTGGAAGGGTGGAAGGTCTAAGAAGGCTGGAAAGGTGGGGAGGGGAAGGAGATTCTGAAGGATTTTGAATACCAGACAGGATTTTACATTTTAGATCCTGGAGGTGATAGGGAGCCACTGGAGTTTATTGAATAGGGAGATGACATGGTCAGACTTGTGCTTTGGGGAGATCACTTTGACAGGAGGTGGGGATAGAGTAGAGAGAGACCAACCAGCAGGCTATTACAATAGTCTAGGCGTGAGGTGATCGGCACCTACACCAGAGTGGTGGCAGTATCAAAGGAGAGAAAGGGACATATATGGGAGATGTTGTGAAGGTAAACTCTATAGGCTTTGGCAACAGATTGGATATAGCAAGTGAGAGAGAATAAGATATTGAGAATGACACCAAGGGTTCAAGCCTGGGTAACTGAGAGAATAGTGGTACCCTCTAGAGTATTAGGGAAGTTAGGAAAATGGGAGGATTTGAGGGAAACATAATGAGTTCAGTTTTGGACATGTTGAGTTGAGATGTCTATGGGACATCCGGTTCAAGATGTCTGCAGGGTAATTGGAAGGGGCCTTAGAAGCAATCTAATCCAGACTGTGTCTTGTAGCATCTCTGACAAGTAGTCATCCAACCTTGACTTTGAAACCTCTTTTTGGGGGGAGGGGAGAGAGAAGCTCATGTTCTGAGGCATCTCAATTCACTTTGGGTTAATTCTAATCATTGTGAAGTCTTCACCATGCATTAAATCTCTGTCTGCCACTCTGAAACTGAGCTGCTTTGTTCTTAGTTCCAAGCAGAGAAAGTCTAGTTTCTTTTCCATATAATGTCCTTTCAAGTGTTTGATGGCAGCTATCACGATCCTATTGTTTACTTGGTTCTAGATTGAAGATTCTCCATTCCATTAACCAGTCCTTTTTTTGGGATATGGTCTCCACTCTCACCAGCACAGCTGCCCTCTTCTGGCTTTGTTCTAGCTTAAGTAGGTCTTCTTAAAATGTGGTGCCCAGAATTGAATAAAATATACCAGATGTGTTCTGACCAGAGAACAGTACGATGGAATTATCAGCCACATCTTATGGCTCTGTGCCTCTCAATGGGACCCAAGAGATCATTAGTCTTTTTGACTGGCTTGCTGTACTTTTAAGTCAGTGAACTTGTAGGCCACTAAAACCCCAAAATCTTTTTAGCAAAAGTGTTATTTTGTTACACTTCAACCATTCTATATTTGTAAAGTGGATTTTTTTAACCCAAGTGTAGAATTTTTCTTCCTTATCAAATTTCATCTTTTTATATTTGGTCCATTGTTCTAGTCTGCCAAGCTCTTTCTAGATATCTAACTATCATGTAGGCTATTCCTCCTGGTTTTATGTAATTTTCAAATTTGGCAAATACACTTTCTAATGTGTAAAGTGTATATAAAGTAAACATATGCAAATACACACTTATATGTAAAAAAGAAAACATACTTTCTTATTTGTTTTGTGTCTTTTTCCAAGCTACTGACAAAAATGACACAGGGCAGACAGATGCCTGGGGCATTCCCATAAGAACCTCCTTCCAAATTTACCTTGACCCCACTAAAAAAATAAAAATTAGTTAGCATTTACATAGTGCTTTCAAGTTTACAAAGAACTTTACGAATATTATCTCATTTTATGCTCACAGCAAGCATTAGAGGTAGGTATTATAATCATCCCCAATCTACAGGTAAGGAAACTGAGTCAGACAGAAATTAAGTGGTTATCTAGGGTCATATAGCTAGTAAGTTTGAACTCAAGTCTTTCTGACTCCTGACTTCCTAACTCAGTGCTCTATGCTCTAAGCCACCTAGTTGCCCATTAATAATTATCCTTTGAGTCTGATCAATCAACCAGTTCTGATTCCACTTAGGTATATTAGGTGAATACTATTATCAAATTCTTATCTCTCCATCTTCTCCTTAAGGTTTGCATGTTGTTACATCATTCAGTCATTTTCAGTCATGTCTGACTCTTCGTGACCCCATTTGGGGTTTTCTTGGCAAAGATACTAGAATAGTTTGCCATTTCCTTCTCCAGCTCATTTTACAGATGAGGAAACTGAGTCAAACAGGGTTAAAAGACTTGCCCAGGATCACATAGCTAGTGTCACCTATGTAAGGTTTGCATGAGAGACTGTCAAATATTTTGCTGAAAACTAGCCTATGATGTCTATAGCATTTCCCTGTTCTATCTGTCAAAAAAAGAAAAAAAAGAAGTAAGATTAATCTGGCATAACTTGCTCTTAATATATCATCATGCTGACCATGCCAAGAAACTAAGGACCTAGGGAGATATTAAAGGGTTAGTTCAAAGTTCCATAAAATCACCGTGTTTTATTCTCAGTAACCTATTAATTGTTTATACAGCTGAACAGCTGGTTCTAGGCAGGGCTGTTCTATTTACACATAAATACGGCTCCAGGGTTTTGTGACCCTGTAAGGAGTGATTGAAGGATATTCTCTAAAGAAAGGAAGTTTAGGAGCGTGTAGTACTTTTCTTCAAGCTTTTTAAGGTCTGTCATGTGGAAATGGGGATTGGATTATGTTTCAGAGGATGGAACTGGGGCCAACAGGTAAAAGTGACAAGGAATCTGGGAGCGGATTTCTGCTCACCCTAAGAAAGAACTTAATAATAATAATGATGATGATAGCAATAATATCTTACATCTGCATGATGCTTTTTAGCTTTCAAAGAACTTTTACATACACTTTTTCATTTGATGCTCACAGAAACTGAAGTAGGCAGGGCAGATGCTATTACTCCTGCTTTACATATAAAAAATTGAGGAAGGTTGTATGTGGCTCATCTTAGTACAAACAACTAGTTAAGTGGTGGAGCTCAGACTAGAACCAGGTCTTCTGACTCTCAGGCCAGTGCTCCTTCCACTATAGCACTTGGGGTGGTTTAATCCTGAGAGAGGCTGCCTTGTAAGGCAAAGAAGTCCATGGAAAGGCTCAACAGAGACCAGTGACTATCAGAATCTTTATGGTCCCTTTCCAGCTCTGAGGTTCTGATTTTTTTTTTTTTCCTTATCAAATATTGTACTTTGGACTCTTGGCTTCATGCAGGAAAGGAGCCCTCTTGAAATGGAGCTGTGGGTAAATCCAGAGGAAGTAAGAAATAAAAACCCTTGGGGCCTGGGGAGGGGGGGAGTGGGAAAAAGGGAGTGGGTGGTACTTTCATTTGCTTGAAGCAATTTAGCTGGTAACCCTGTACACTTGAGGTTCAGTCTTTTTTTGTGCTTTTCTCCATTCTTCCTTCTGTTAAATTCTCTGACCCCCTTAGTGATTTATGGGGGGAAACTACTTCCTTGAGAAATGAAGCTCACTTTAGGATATATGAAAACTATGTATGTGTATGTGCATCAAGAGAGAAAGTATGTCTGTATTTATATGTTTATATATTTACTATATATTCATACAGGCATACATATATAAAGAAAGAGAGAGTGAGAAAGACAAACACATGGAGGGACAGAGAAAGAGAGTGAAAGAAAAAGAGAGGGGGGGCACATGGCATAGTGGATAGAGAATATCAAATCACATCAAGGAAGACCTGAGTTCAAGTCTGATACATTCAAGACCTTTAATATATTCTGCGACCATAGACAAGTTATTTACCAACTCTGTACTCTAGGTCACTCTATATGCCTATAATCTGCAGAGAAGGTACATCAGGAAATTACTATGTCATTGGAATCATTGGTTTGATCCCTCTTAGCTCTATTTATATCTGTATATATATATACAGAGAAGGAGGGAGGAATGGGAGGGAGAGAAAGAAACTAATCTTGTGATTTCATTGGTTTACTGAGATCCCATAGAAAGAAACTCCCTTCATCAATCCCTATCGTTCTCTGCCAATTATAGCCTTAGAGAGTTGTCCAGTGTGTGTCAGAGGTGGGGCCTGAACCCAGCTCTTCCTGGCTAGGAGGATGATCCTCTATTCGATACATTATGGTGTAATGTGTGCATATACATATAGAAATTATTGCAACAACTTTACAAGGAAAAAAAGAGTAGTGTAAAAAGTGTTGGACTGGGGCAGCTAGGTGGTGCAGTGGATAGAGCACTGGCCCTGGAGTCAGGAGGACCTGAGTTCAAATATGGCCTCAGATACATGACATTTATTAGCTGTGTGACCCTGGGCAAGTCACTTAACCCCATTGCCTAGCCAAAAAAAAAAAAAAAAAATAAGTGTTGGGCTTGTAGTCAAGAGACATGGATTCCAATCCTGATTTCTATTTCTTTGCTAGCTGTGTGCCTTTGGGCAAGTCACTGATCCTTCCCCAGCCTTGGTTTTCACATATGTGAAATAAGGATAATCTATCTGCCTTGCCGATGATGATGGTCACATGAGAAAGTATGTTTAAAGATGCTTTGAAAATTTGAAAATGCTATCCAAATGTAAGATTCCATATGACATGGAACATGACTTCTAAACCATCACCATTAGAAGAGTGAAAATCCCACAGAGTTCTTCCAAGAGCCAATTCCTGAGCCAGTTCTGTTTATCTCATTAAATAGCTACAGCTAGGTCCTGATTGGTGAGAATAATGAATCTTGTGGTGAAATTTGAATTTGCACTAGGCATATCTAATATCCATTGGGCTGGAACTAATAGTCACATTTCATATAATTATGTAATTATGATTTTTATGTAATTATAACCACATTTTATGTCATTATAACAGAATAGTGCAAATACATGGGACCACTCCACAGGGTTCATTTACTCTCACTAATCAGGACCTAGCTGTCCTTATTAGTAGTGTGACCCTGTGGGCAAATCACTGAACCTTTCTGATGCTTGGTTTCCTCATCTGTAAAATGGGAACAATAATACATATAGTATGTGTTCCATAGGATTGTTTGGAGAATCAAATGAACTAGTGTATGTAAAGTGCTTTGAAAAACTTTAAAGCAATTTATAAGCGTGTGTGTGTCTCTATCTAAGTTATTATTATTAACAAAACTTTTTTTCTGGGGCGGGGGCAGAGAGAGTGAGTTATAGAGGAGAGCTGAAATTTTAAAAAGCGTATTTTTTCTGGGGAGTGTCGTGAGTCCCATTTTTTTCCCTCTTCCGTTTTCAGAACAGCATATCCTAGAGGATCTGGAAAAGCAGGCAGTTCTGGTATACACGCCATCTCGCAAGGTCAACGGTAAACGGGTAGTCTGCTACGATGACCGCTACATTGTGAAGGTGGCCTATGAGAAGGACGGCATCATCGTTTCTAATGACAACTATCGGGACCTCCAGAGCGAGAACCCAGAATGGAAGTGGTTCATCGAGCAGCGACTCCTTATGTTCTCCTTTGTCAATGACAAGTACGTGCGGGGAAGGGTCCTGAGAAGCTACAGGCAGCTCAGGGAGAGCAGCCGATAGAGCATTGTTCCTGGAGTTGGGAAGAGCCGATTTCTAATCCAGCCTCAGACACTAACTACCTGTGTGGTCTCAGTTTCCTCATCTGTAACAATAATCTGATAATAATAGCACCTACTTGTGAGGATCAAAAGAGATAATATTTGTAAAGTGCTTAGCATAATGTCCGGCACAGAGTAAGTGGCATGGTAGATAGAACCGGGCCTTGAGTCAGAAAGACCTGAGTTCAAATCTGGCCTCAGATACTTACTAGCTGTGTGACCCTGGACAAGTCACTTAACTGTTTGCCTCAGTTTCCTCATCTGTAAAATGAGCTGGAGAAGGAAACGGCAAACCACTTCAGTATCATTGCCAAGAAAACCCCAGATAGAGATATGAAGAGTCAGAGGAGACTAAAAAAACAACTGAACAGCAAGAGCTAAGAGAGTAACTGGAAAATGAAAGGGACTGAGTAAGACACAGAAGCAGCCTGGTGCTAGGAATTAAAAAGAAGGGGAAGGAAGGGAGATTTTCCTTTTGGTTTCTCCTTATTGAGCTAGGAAATAGTTTGTTTCTATGCTCTAGTGAGGGGGGTTATTAATCTGTGGTCTGTAAACTTGTTTTAAAAAAATTTCTATCGCTTTATCTTAGTAGAAGTGATTCCTTCATAATTCTATATATTATAGTTTATACATTTAAGAATATCATTCTGAAAAGGAGTCCCTAGGCTTCACCAACTACCAAAGAGGGCCATGACACTAACAAAATAAATAAATAAAATAATATGAGGAACCTCTGCTCGAGGGTATGGTTTTGGGAATTCTTAGGGATAAAACTCCCTCTGCCTGTGCACATCTATACCCATTCTACAACTTAGCATCCTAGAACATTGCCTGGGACACAGAGAGGTTAGGCCACTTGCCCAGGGTCACGCATTGTCCGTATGTCCAAAACTTCATAGACGGTTCATAGTCCAAACTTCATAGAACATTCCCCTTAATAAAAAAGGATTTGTTCTGTAAAACTTGGACTCAGTCAAAACACCACACCCAAGGATCTAGAAGGCCACATGTGGCCTCAAGGCCACAGGTCCCCCACCCCTGGACCAGACCCAAAGCATGGTCATTAATGAGGTCAATGTTCACTTAGAGGAGGTCTCTAGGGATCTATCAGGGATCTATCCTCATTGACCCTGTAATATTTTTGTCTATGACTTAGGTGAAGACTCATAAGATGCCCTGGTCTCCCCAGGGAGTGGAAAGGAGAGGGTTCGTCGTTGTTTGGGCTGGGCGACTTCCTACAAGCTAGGGCAGGCACAGTCTGGAAGGTCAAGTGAGTGAGGAAGGAACCACAGTTCTGCTGCTCCCTGCTTCAACCTTACCCCTTGTGCTCCTGGGCACCTGAAAATGAAGGGCTGCCCCTAAGCCATGGGGCAGATACTCAGCTGCTTTCTGGGGTAGTCAAATTCAGCCTCTCTCTCATCTCCACACACACCTAGCCAGAGGCTCCCACTGCCCAGTTTCAGTCCGGAGGAATCTGGCCAGTCTTTGTGCTTTGAGTGCCAACAAATCCTCACTGTTGCCTAAAGAACCATGACGACTTCTGGACTGGTGACAGCATCTGGGTCAGGGTCCAAGTGCGTCTGACACAACTGATCCCTGTACAGGACCTGTCATCTCCCTCCCTGCCAGGATGCAGTGCCTGCCTGCCCTCCCGCCTGCCTGGGCGAGAAGGAACTCCATCCCAGAGTCCTCAGCGCGGCCCTAGTGTGCTCTTGGCACCGTTTCCCAGGGCCCAGGAGAGAGAGTTCAGGAGGCAAGGCCTTTGGTCACTGAGAATAACCGTGGCAAGCCACTTCCCAGATTCTTGATTAGGGTCCAACATTCAGAAGCTCTGTGTACAGTTGGTAGCCTGAGCAACCAGAGTCCAACACTGGAACATGCAGCCTCCAGGCCTGGGGTGATCTATAGACTAGTTCCAGTGGACTCCTCAGAGGGGATTTCGATCTGAACTATATTGTATTTTTTTTTTCAAACTTATTCTGAATTAGTGACCCATCTGTCCCAGCTTTTCCTTAACCAGGAAATGTGCTCTGGGAACAAATTTGCATTCATCCAGGTAGTAGGGTGAGGTTCCCATCTGTTGTAATTCGTTCTGCCTTTGAGAGGTGATTGCTGAGAGTATATATTATTGCGGGGTGCAGATAGGGAGAAGTCCACTTCCCCATTTGGCAGTGCAAGTGAGCCATGAACATTCAAATCAGGGGTGACTGAGCCAGTAAACGTGAAAAGCTGAAACCAGATGCAGAAAAAATTCAGGAGGTAAATTCATCCTCCAGGCAGAGTATTAGACACTGCAGACACTCAGTACTGCGGGATAAGTCTTCCCCTTTGCCCACTTTATGTTTCAACCGGATCATCCTACTTTATGGTCTCCAAATGTGCCATGAATTTTCCCCATTTCTGGGTCTCTACTCGTGTTCTTTCTTTCATCTGCCATGCCCTTCTGCTCCACCCTCCAATTCATTACCTAGGACTCCAATCAGGGTCAGTATTTGAGTGCCTTCTCTGTGCTCCAGACTGTAGGGAATATAAGGAAAAATATCCAGCCTCCAGTGGCTGGTTGCTTACAGGAGTTTGGAAATCTCCCTGAAATGGAGTGTGAGCTTTGTGAAGCTTGGCATAGCCCTTGGAGATGATGCTGGGGTGACTGCCTGAATAGAGTGGAACACACTGACCTAGGAGTCAAAACACCTGTGTCCTAGGCCTGACTCCCTAATTAGCTATGTGTCCCTGGGCAAGTCAAGTGCCTAAACTTCTCTTGGACCTCAGTTTCCTCATCTGTCATCTGTAAAAGGATTCTGGACTAGAAGATCTCCAAGGTCCCTCACATCTTTAACATTCTATGAGTCTATAACCCAATGAAATGCCTTTTTTTTTTTTTTGGCTACCTGTTCTGTGGCCCCGAGCTCTGAACTGCCAAGGCCCTAGACCTTTCATGTGGTTTAGAAACTGAGGGGAGTTGAGTGACTTTTTCCATTACTCACAGATGGTGCCTATTGAAACCACTGATTCATTTGCTTTCAGAGAGGTCTCTTGCCCTCTTCTGGGACACACACCCATGTGTCACCCCTCTGCCTCAGGTCTGCCTCCCACCCACATCCATCCTTGTGGCAGGCAGGGGCCTCAGCACCCAGGAGGCGCTTCCTCCCAGAGCATCTCTTTGTCTGAGGGGCGCAGTGAAGGGGCAATAGGGAGGTAGCTGGTTCCCTCAGGTGCTACTGTTTGGGAATTTACCCTGGTTTACCTCTGCCTGTGATGAAGGATTGGGGACGTCCAACAGCAACAACCACAGCCACAACCACGTTTCTATTGCCCTTAAAGGTGTACACAGAACTGTCTTCATAACAACCCTGTGAGAGAGATAGTGCAGAAATAGTCTGCCATTTTCCAAATGAGAACAACGAGGTTCAGAAAGGTAGTGGTTTGCTCATAATCACGTGGCTAGTAAGTGTTAGAACTGGGGCTTGGACACAGGCTTTCTGATGAGTTTAGTCTAGGAGTGGGAACCTGCGGCCTTGAGGCCACGTGAGGCCCTCTAGGTCCTCGAGTGTGGCCCTAAAGAGCCACATGCGGCCTCGAGGCCGCAGGTTCCCCGTCCCTGGCTAGTCCTTCCGCTGTGGACACTATCTCTCTCAAAAATTAGGTCAAGATTCCCTATGTTCTGTGCTCAGCCTGTCCTCCTCCTTTGCCCCCTTCTTCTACTTTTTGTTTCCACCAAATCAGACTACTTGGTGGTTCCCAAATGGGCCATCTGCTTTCCCGTTTTGGGGCCTTTGCTTATATTGTTCTTTCTCCCTGTCATACCCTTCTGCATCCCGTTCCACCTGTTAGAATTCCACTAGTACTTCAGAGACCAGAGTCACTGTTGCCTCCTCCACGAAACTTTCCCTGAGTTTTTCATCTTTTCTCACTCCCTCCCTCCAGCCAGAAGTGATGCCTCCCTCCTCAGTCTTCCCATAGCCCTTCCAACTTTTCCTAGAACTCTTCTCCCATATTGCCCTGTATCATAGTTATTTTTGTTCAGATCTTATTTCTTCTGCTACAGTGAGATCTTCTTGAGAGCAGGGACTGAGACCAGTTCCTAGCTGTATCCTCCTCAATGTGCCTATAACCGTGCTTTGCACATAGTAGGTACTCATTCTACCTGCCTTCTAGCTTTGTGGTAAGAAAGCAAAGCACAGCTTTACAGGGCTAGAGAGATGGGAGTTGCTTTAGTAGTGAACTAGAGTATTCCTTCAGAATCTTTGAAAGATGGTGTTGAGGAAAGAGCCACTGTCTCTGTTTCTCTGGAGATGACCACTGTCTTGTTTTCCAGATTCATGCCTCCTGATGATCCTCTGGGCCGCCATGGACCAACTCTTAGTAATTTCCTTTGCAAAAAGCCAAGGCTTCCACAGGCCTCCTGGCAGCACTGCCCCTATGGTAGGTCTTACCCTTTACCTCCTGTAGCTGGTTCAGAGACTATTTTTTTTTTTTGGTGGGGACTTGAAAGAATTCGTAAAGTGTCTGGGAAGGTCATGAATGAATGAAACAATGATGTCGGATGGGGTTTGTCTTTAGAATCTCCTAGGCTCTTCCTTCGGTGTGCCTTTTTCCCATTCATCCTCCTGCTCTGATGCTGTCCCCTCCTCCCCTTTTTTCCTCAAACTCCCCCCACTCCAACTGCTTCTCACTGTCTCTTGTCATGGAGGAAAGGGATTTTGGCGGACTCCTACAGGAAAAAGTGTCAGGGTCTTACTGGGTCCCCCTCTCAGAAATAAGTACACGTGAAGAGGGCTTTGGGGGAAGGCAATGCTTAGCACCAATTACTGGGAGAATTTCAGGTGCTGGTGGGGGAGTCAATCTCAATCAGTTTGGCTGCTGTGGCCATTTCAGGCCTCATCAGCACAGCGTGGACTGTAGCTGCTAGTAGAGTGATCATTTCCAGGAAGAGGCCATGCTGACTCCATATTAGGGTGGGTAGGGGAGGCCTTTCCGTTGAACTTCAGATCATAGCCCAGAAGCAACTGTCACTCGGTCAATAAGTCAACAAGTATATATTAGACACCTACTATGTTCCACAGAGAAGGTAGGTAGGTAGCACAGTAGATAGAGCACACAGGGCCATAGTCAGGAAGGCCGGGGTTCAAATCCAGTCTCAGATACTTACTAGCCGTGTGACCCTGGGCAAGTCACTCAACCCTGTTTGCCTCAGGTTCCTCATCTGTAAAATGAGCTGGAGAAGGAAATGGCAAACCACCCTAATATCTTTGCCAAGAAAACCCCAAAAAGGGGTCATGGAGAGCTGGACGTGACTGAAAATGATTGAAAAAAAATGTTCCAGATACCAGATACTATGCTAGGGGCTGGAAATACAAAGACCAAAAAAAAAAATATATGAAATAAAAAACAATCTTTGCCCTTAAGGAGCTTACATTCTGTAGGGAAAACAATGTGTACATATAAAAGAATGTACCAAATAGGTACAAAATAAATGCGAAATAATTTCAGCAGGCAGGCCTAGCAGATGGTAGTATAAGGCTTGACCCTGTCTGTGTGGTCTGGAACCAGAGAGTCACGAGGAGTAGCTCTTTCCATCGCACCCCACTCATTGGATGCTGATACCCTCCCAAGTCCTTAAGCAGGGAGAACAGAATGACTGATGGATCTGTCTCTTTGGTCCGTGTGTGCATATTGAATGTAGTCTACTTCTACACAGGTCTCTCCTCCCAGGCCTTCCCACACCCATACCACCGATTCTGGTAAATCCAGGTCTGCCCATCACATCCACAGTGTCTGCAGAGCATTATGGAGGGAAGAAAGCATTAATTATTCACCCACCCGATGGGGCTGGGATGGGCTGGGCTGACTTAGGAGGTAGAATTTTGCTCCACGATGGTTCGTAGGACTTGCCACGGCCTTGCTCCATTGTAGGATGGTTCGAGGCCTGAAATTTCAAACCAGAGGAAAGGGCAATGGGGCTAGCAGTGAAAGGACCTGAATCCATCCTCAACCCAACCTTTTGTGTGCTGACTCTTGTCTTCACCTCCTTGCAGGCAGGAAGTGTACCTACGGCAGTAAGTGTAAATTCTACCACCCAGAGAGACTGCATCAAATCCAGCTGTCGGTGGCGGATGAGCTCCGAGCCAAAACGAGGACCTTGCTGGGGTCAGAGGAGGAGCAGCTGAGACCCAGCTTCTTGAAGACTGGGCCAGTTCCCTCCCTGCCTCACCCCAGCCTCAGCACAGAAGGACCGTGGAGTCCCAGGGGAAGCATCAGTAACTACAGTAGCCACAGTAACAGCAGCCCAGGCTCCATTTGGACAGAGGAGGGAGTTCTTTCTGTGGACGGGAGCTTTAGAGGAACCCTGGCCAGGACCTGGGAGGACTGGGCGCAGGAGAGGCAGGACCCCGAGAGGGGCATTCCACGCCACTGCCAAGCGGGCGATATCAGGTTCTTGGAAAGCCAGTTTTCCCGATTGGCATGTGGTGATGATTTATATGGCTGTGGCTCGCATACTGGTATCACAACTTCCCGCATTCAGAGTGGGATGAACAATTCATACCAGGGCTGCAATCTCAATCATTCCGGCTGCCATGGCCGCTTCAGGCCTCATCAGCACAGCGTGGATTGTAGCTGCTGGAGGAGTGATCGTTTCCGAGAAGGGGCCACTCTGACTCCATGTGCTTGCAGACGCCTGATGATCAGAGGGTCTTATTGTAATGGTACCAGGGGGCCAGACCCAGTCCTGCAGGAGACTTTTGCCCCAAGTAGCCACCCATCCAAAGCAGACCTGCAGCAGCCCCAACAGCAGGCTGTATACTGCTCTCACACTCCCACTGGGGATCCATTTCCCCATTCCACCCAGTCTAATGAGACCTGGAGTATAGAGCAAGGACCAAAGGAACCACCCGGTTCACCCTTTTGGGGGGACTCCAGCTGGGGAAACCACCCGTTTAGGAAAGCAGATAGTTATCTACACTCTTCTGAGTATAAATACCCCGCCTTGGATTCAGCCATTGGAGAGCGAGCCCACATTCGGACAGCCCTTTATAACATCTTCCCCCAGGATGAGGTAGACCAAGTCATGTCTTTGTTTCCCAACCTCGTGGACATCCCTAGTCTGATATTACTCATCGAGAAAAACCGTCGGCTTTGTCCGTGAGTTGGAAACCTCTGAGAAGTCAGCGCAAAGTGTATGCCCTCAGCATCCCTAGAATCCTTTGGACTATGAAGTTCTGGAGGCTGGAGCTGCAGACCTACTGAAAGCAACTCACAGTTGCTCAATTGACATTTCCTATTGTGGTGGCAGGGCTGGCCCAGACCCCTTGTCTCTGGGCAGGGCAACATCTAAGCTTTCCCAACGCACATGGAGATCAGGTCAAGGAAGACAAGGAAAGATATTCCATTATTTAGTTTGTCACACTCCTGCTGCCATTTGCCTGTTTCCTGAATGAAGGTCACAAAATCTAAGAGGTGGAAAAGACCTCAGAGGTCCCCTAGTCTGAGCCTCCACCTGAGCAGGAATCCAAAAAGGATTTGCTATGTTTTTTGAGGGGGGAGGCAATTGTGGTTAAGTGACTTGCCCAGGGTCACACAGCTAGTACATGTCTAAGGCAGGATTTGAACCCAGGTCCTCTTGACTCCAGGGCTGGTGCTCTATGTACTGCACCACCTAGCTGCTCCTGAGATTTCCTATTAAAATATCCTTAATAAATAAGCATTCAGATTTTGCTTGATGATCTCTATTGAGTGGGTAACCAATCTGCTACTTCTCAAGGCAACCCATTCCACTTTGGAATGGAACAGATTTGGAACAGATTTTATTGTTAGGAAGTTTGTGGGGTTTTATTGTTGTTGTTTTTTACCCACTGCTCTTGGCCCCATGGGGCCAAGAAGAATAAATGTAACCCAGGGATTCTTTTCCTGGGTTCTGTGAACTTAAAAAATTTTTTTTGATGATTATTTACATGTAATTGGTTTCCTTTGCAATTTTAGGGGTTTTTTATTTTATGCATTTAAAAACACGGTTTTGGGAAGGGATCTCTATGTTTCATTGAACTGCCAAAAAGACACAATAAAGATTAAGAACTTTTGATCTAGTCCCTTTTCTATATGACAGCCCCTTAAGTACATGAAGAAAGCTACAAAATAATAGGAGTACTGATTTAGAGCTGGAAGGGACCTTGGGGTCTATCATGTCCAATCTTCTTATTTTACATGTGAGGAAACTGAGGCGCAAAGCAGTTAAAGTGACTTGCTCAGAGTCACACAAGTAGAAGGGACAGTGCCAGGGTTCGAATCCAAGGTGTCTGATACTAAATCCAGCACTCTCTACTAAACTATGCTGCCTCAATGTCTTCTTCTCAAGGCTAAATATCCCCTATTCCCATTCCTTTAGTCTTCTTATGACGTGACTTTTCAAACTTTCATCATCCTGGTTGCCCTTTTCCAGATGTGTTCTAGCTTTTCTATGTCCTTGTTAAAATATGGCACCTATCACAGAACACCCATGTGAAATATGGCCAGGGCAGAGAACAGAAATGCAATCCCCTCCCTCATTCGGGACATTCATCTTTACTGTAGCCCTTAGTAGCATATCATTAGGAGATTATGATATCCTACCATCCTTTGCCTAGAGGTGAAATAGATAACAGCTTGGAGTCAGAATGGACCTGAGTTCAAATATGACTTGAGAAGCTTAACTGGTTAGATGACCCCACAAGTCATTTAATCTCTCTCTGCCTCAGTCTTCCTCATCTATAAAATGGGGATGATAATAACCCCTACCTCCCAGGGGTTGTTGTGAGGAATAAATGTAATAACGAGTTTAAAGTGCTTTGAAAACCTTAAAATGAATTGACTGAGAGTGAATTTGCAGGCCACAGAGATTTGTCACACACACCCAAAGGTGAACACAGGCCAAATCCCATTCCAGCAAACACCAAGAGACAGTCCAGATGTTTTCCTTGCCCTGGAATCTTATTTTTATTATGTATTGTTTTATTGTACAGAGATTCTACTTTATTTGCTATTTTCTTGTTTTAATCAGGTGACTTCTAAGCCTTCTCTTTGAGTGAAATTCCAGGTTCTTTCACTTTTCTTCATTTTAGCCAGTTCCTCAGTTGGTTTCTCTACAACTTCATGACTCTCTGGGCCTCAGCGTCCTTACCTCTAAAATGGGGGCATTGGATTAGGCAACCTTTCAGGTCTCTTCTAACTCTGATTCTATGACCCTCCTGAACTTAGCACAGTGTCAGGCACATAAGTCCTTAATAAACACTTGGTTGATTGATTGGTACAGTGGGACAGCGACCTTTATTTGCAGACTTGCTATGTTTCTCCACATTAACCATTCTCTCATATTTGAAGTTGGCTTCTCTTCACATTGTAATCAGAGCCAGTTATTTCTATTTTTCATTGTACCTCTTGCTAGAGTAAAGTCCAAAGTCCTATCCCCTATTTTTTTTCCCCCATGACAGTAGTGGACCCAAACAATATCAGTAAGCAGTTGGATTCCCATTTTGTAGCAGAGGTCCAGAGGACTACTGACTGCTTAGGGACACCAGGCTAAACCAACTGGCCTAGAATATAGCCCTTTGGACCTCTTTGCTATCCTACAATTGTCTTCTATCCTGGGAAGAAAAAGAAGGCCCCCTAGGATCTCACCCATAAGAGATAAAGCAGCGTTTTCCATTTCTGCCCTGAAAGCTATGCATGGGGGCAAGGCAAGGAACCACTTCATCCAAGGTACCCCCCGCAGGCCACAGTTCGAGTTGGTACAACTGTCAGCTTTCAGCAGATATTCTGTTGATTCACTGTCTGAAGGTTCTTGGTTAAGGTTCCAGCCCCACTGCCTGGCAGGATGGGCAAGTCCACAGCAGCAGGTAAATTCCCCTCCCTTCCATTTCTTGGGATTGCTGAAGCTTTAGAGGTTCAGATTTCCCAAGGAAATTAGCCCTGGGGCAATCTTCAGGGACAAAGGACAGTTCATTCCCATTTGCTGTTATGGGCCCGGTGTTCATGGTAACAGTACGGTGTGTTATTTAAAAAAAATCCATTTCCCAGACCTCTTTTATGAATCCTGTGGATATAACTAGTTGTAAAATACTGTGACGTCATGCTGTATCTCCCTGTTGATAGTAAAACTTTGAGTCTGAACCCTTGGCACTTAAAATCACATTTATCATTTTTTGAGCCTGGTTTGAGTCAGAAATGACTCCCCCATCCTGTCCTACCAAAAAACTGACCTGTAGACACATATCCAATTTATATTGTTACTTGGGATCTGACTGAAAGAGAACATAAGACGCTACCATATTTATTGTGTTGTCTGTAAAAAAAAATCACTTTGGCAGAGCAAAAGGCCCTCCTTTTTCCATGCACATGTCACAATCACACAAGATTACTCAAAAGATATAATAACAGAGATAACTTTATTTGCTTACCCTCTAATTATTAGGATCAAACAGGAAGGTAGATGCTTCTGTCATTGAGGAGGTCTAGTACAAAGTCCAATCAAAAGAAGGAATCCTTATGGATCTGGGCTTCTTATCCTGGGGCTCGCGGATAGATTTCAAGAGGCCTGAGAACTTGGATGGGAAAAAATTACACCTTTACAGTTATCTATTCTACATTGCAACTTTCCCCATCTTGATTTTTATATATTGCAGGTCAGCATAAGAAATTAAGTGGGAATTTTGAGAGATTTTTGCAGAAGCTGCAGATGACATGTGAAGGCTAGCAGATGACACAGAAAAAGTTTAGAAACTCAGAAATGCATAAAATATATGTATAGTATTGTATAATATCAACATATTTTATCTTTTAATACTATAATAATTCAAACTTCTTCTCTGGTATGAAAGGAGAGTCAAAAAATTTTACGTGGATTTTCCATATTGCGAGGGCGCTGCACCGCAAACCCCCGAGATGTAGAAGGGATAACTATGTTTCAATATAACTACTTTTCTTTGTAATCCCATATATTTTATTTTATGCATTTAAAAACATTCTTCTGAGAAGGATTCTATAGGATTCATCAGACTGCAAGAGAGATCCATGAAGCAAACCCCTTAAGAATTCCTGCCATAGGTGGTGAGGCTCTCCAGCCGCTCCTGTTTTGTAGATGGTACCATGCTGATTGGATCAAGTCTTGGAACATTACGGAGGCCTAGAAATTTATAATAACTCGACAGAGTTTGACCTAACTATCCACTTGGAAAGGCCAAGTGAGTGAGGCCTGCCTATTCTTCAGACTATGAGATATAGTTAGACAGCCAACCTCTAATACTCATCTTTCAGTACGTTTATTGTAGACAGACACTGCCGTGATTTGGACCCTAAAACTAAGGAAGAAGTGAAGCAAGTTGAATTGCTTTGGGGAAATGACAAAGTTCTTTTAATGACTCCAAGATTCTCCTTGAAACAAAAGCCCATCTTTTTAATACCAGCATTCTGCAGGTGATGTCCTAGTCATGGAACACTAAGGTGTCCAAAGAACTGAAACTGGGGATCACTCCAAAGGGCAGTGGAGTGGTTCATGGTGGGTATAAGCAGGTCGCAACACATTACAAACAGGCAGTTATGAAGAAGTACTATAAAGGTAGCTATCAAAGATATTTTTGAGTCAAAAAGAAGAGTTGTTGGTTGTGTGGTGAGGGAGAGAGGTAGACAACCAACCTGTGCATTCTACTGGTACACTATCAGAGTATGAAAATTCAGGAAGGCCCCAGAAAATTGAGTGGTCCCCTTGTGGTGAATTTATGGGAAGACGAGACCAAGAGTCACCTAGGACAGGCAGGTACAGAGAGTTTGTGATCAGCATCGTAGAGGGAGGGCAATATCTGCATCTTGAGGTCACAGATCCATTGGAGAATTAGGGAATGTTATGACTGATGAATTTGTTCTCCCTAGATAAATACTGTGAAGGAAATTCAGAGTTTTATTTTTTTTCTCTTGAACTAAATAAGAAAAAAGTTTTATAGATTTATGGGATCTAGAACTAGAGGTCATCTGGTCCAGCTTCCTCATTTTACAGGTGAGGAAACTGAGGCCAAGTGACACGGGCAAGCTCATGCAGATGGTAAGTCAGAGCCAGAATTCAAAGCCAGATGCTAAGATTATAGATTTGGAGCTGGAAGGGACTGCAGATGCCATGTGGTCTAACCCCCTGATTTTACAGGGGAGGGAACTGTGGGCCATCGGAGTTTGATGACTTGCCCAAGGTCGTATAGGCAATGAAGTGTCAGAGGCAGGGTTTGAATTTGGTCTTCGTCTTAAAAGTCAGTGCTCCTTCCATGACTTTTTAGTTGCCTGGTCTGCTTCCTACTGCAGAATCATTGCACACCTGGTCTGGGTTAGAAAGAGTGAAACTGCCTCCTTTGAGGAGGGCTTTTTTGTGGTTGTTGTTGTTTTGGGGGGGGTTGAGGGGAAAGGGGGAGGTCAGTAAAAAGTACTTTGCTTTTCTATTGTAGTTGTTGTTCAATTGTTTTTCAGTCGTGTCTTTTTCATGATCCCATTTGGGGTCTTCTTGGCAAAGATACTGGAGTAGTTCGTTTTACAGATGAGGAATCGAGGCAAAAAGGGTTAAGTGATTTGCCCAGGGTCACACAGCTAGCATGTGTCTGAGGCCAGATTTGAGCTCAGAAGTTGAGTCATCCTGATTCTAGGCCTGACACTGTATCGACTAAACCACCTAGCTGCCTCTTTCTTATTTTCCAATGACTAATAATGATAAATGACATTGATAAAGTGTTTTAAGGTTTGGAAAAACACACATTATCTTATCTCTGCCTCTCAGTAAGTATGACTGTCCCCATTGTACAGATGAGGAAACCAAGGATCAGAGAGACTTGTCCAAAGTCACACGGCTAGCAAGGGTCAGAGGAGTATTCAAGCCAGCATGGTGAAGTGGGGAAAAACCTGGAGTCTCAGAATATGTGTTCAA